TTCTACATCTATCATGATGTTGTCTACAGGTACAGCAGTGAGGATTTTTGTGTTCTGGATGTTGAGATTTAATCCATATGGAAGGGTGTTGTCTTTGAACTTCTACTGCAAGTGTTTCAAGTCCTCTTTGCTTTCAGCAAGCAACACTGAATCACCTGCATCATGCAAGGTATTGAGGAATCTTCCACTGATCCCAGTGGCACATTGAATAAATATGGAGAAAGTTACAGCCCTAATGTACACCTATTTTGATTTAAAAACAGTGTCCCTTTTCTCTATCTGGACAAAAGCCTCTTAATCTAGAAATAAGTTTCATGTGAGCACAATTAAGTAAGTGTTCTAGGGATCTCATTTTTCTCAATGTTCATTGTCATTTCAATAAAATATAACTCAATTTTTCAGAAGTGAGCTTCCAGCCAAAATCCATGATATTCCTTGTGCCACAGCCTTTTCTGAATCCAGCTTTAATTTCTAACAGTTACTTGTTTATTTACTCTCCCAGGTGTTTCTAAATAATCTTCAGCAAGATTTTTACTTGCATGAGATATTAACTGTATTGTTCTAAAACAATCACATTCTGTTGAACCATCTCTTTCGTTTTCCAGTCAGTTGGCCAGGTAGTTAGCTGTCTTCCAAATTTCGTGGCACAGACTAGTAAGCACATCCAGAGTTGCATCTGTTTGTTGAAATATGTCAATTGGTATTCTATCAATTCCTAGGGACCTTATTATTATTTTTTTCTTTTTGCCAGAACCAGATAAAGAATTCTAAATATGTCTTCACTTGTGTTTATAATATGGAAATATCATCTAAAAAGTCTTCAATGGAAAAAAACCCTCCTAACTAAGACCATATATAGTCCTAAACATATTACATGTGGTCTCATCCCCAACCAGCGAGTGCTACAGTTGATTACAAATGTAAAACTATTTTACAGATTAACATGCAAAAAGTGAAGGATTCTTACTCTTAGGTTCTGTCAGTTCCAACTCACAGTGACTCCCATGTTACAGAGTGTATGGCCGAATAAGGGTTTTCTTGGCTGTAATCCTACCAAAGCTGAATTCCAGGTCTTTCTTCCACAGAGCAGCTGGGTGGATTTGAACTGTCAACCATTCCATTAACAACTAGTGTCTAACTATTTGCATCATTAGAGCTCCTCTAAAAGTGAAGAGTGTGCTTCTGTGATTTGGGTGAAAGTTTACATAGAGATTTGATTTTCTATTACTCAACACTTTTTTTTATGACTATGATTAAAATCCACAAAACAGAGCAGCATCCTGCCCATTTCCTCCTTGTGTCACCATTTGCCTTTATCCTGCTGAGCTTTAATTTTGGGCAAATGCTGTTCTTTTGAGGGGTGAAAGCTTACAAATAATATAGGTTTTCATTCATTCATTCATATACTTTTTGTTGTATAACATTAAATACAACTGAGTAATGCAATTAATTTTATGTATCATCAAGTTGTTATTATATACCGCCTTTCTCTTCATCTAACTTATTTAATCTGGTCTAGTGATTAATTTTTCTCTTCTAGGTTTGAAAGGTAGTATAAAGGTCATAACTTCAGGGGCCCTAAAAGGTTTTTTTTTTTTACTCTATTCTCATTCTATTTCTTCTTTAAAAGGGCCTTGTCTTTGTAGTACCATCTAAGAGTTTTCTCACACAATAACTACATGTGCCAGTTTCAAGAATAGAGTACAAATCAGTAATATGGAGGGTGAAAGATAGGTAGGGGAAGAAGCCAAGAGAAAAATCTATTTTTAAAAAGCAAATAAATTCAAAACTATTTAGAAAATACTGTTTCTATTACAGATCTTAAAATCTTCCTTGTTCAAGCATTCCTCAAAGTGTGGAAATTATTGAACAATATCACTATTACTATAAGCAAGCAAAATCCTACTAAAGATCATCCAAAAATGATTGGAACAATCTATTGACAGAGAACTACTAGAAATACAAGCCAAGTTTACAAGAGGCCATGGCACTAGTCACATCATCACTAATGTCAGATGGACCTTGGCCAAAATTAGAGTGTCAGAGGAATGCCTATGTTTCATTGACTAGAAAAAGGAATTTGACTGTGTGGATCACAATAAATTGCAACTAACCTTGAGAAGAATGGGAGTCCCAGAACATCCAATTGTGCTCATGCAAAAGCTATACTTGGACTAGGAGGCTGTCGTCAGAACAAAGCAAGGAAACATTATATGGTTCAAAATCAGGAAAAGAGCATCAAGGATGCATCCAGTCTTCATATTTTTTCCCTCTGTGTGTGAAGCAGATCATTCAAGAGGCTGGACTTGAAGAGGCATCAAGATTGGAGGAAGAATCATTAACAACCTGCACTAAACAGATTATACAACTTTGCTAGCTGAAACTGACAAGGGCCTGAAGCATTTGCTGCAGAGGGTCAAGGACTATAGTCTGCAATATGGAATGATGTTCAAGATCAAGAAAAACAAAGATTTTCACCACTAGACCAATTGACAGCACCATGAAAGACAGAGAAAAGATTGAGATTGTTAACAATTTCGGCTTGCTAGGTTCCATGATCAACACTCTTGGTAGTAGCACTCAAGAGATCAAAAGACAAATTGCATTAGAAAATCTGCTGTCAAGGACCTTTTCAGCTTGCTGAAGAGCAACAATGTCAATCTAGAGCCTAAAGTGCATCTGATCCAGACCTGGTCTTTGCAATTATTTGCTATGCATCAGAGAACTGGACAATGACCAGAGATGACAGAACAAAGATTGATGCCTTTGTGTTGTGGTGCTGGAAGAGTATTGGACATACCATGAACAAACATACCAAGAGAACAAACAGATTTATCCTGTAGAAGGTGAAACCAACCTGCTCTTCAGACACTGGAATTTGTAGGCTCTGTCTTACATACTTTGGCCATATGGCTAGATGGCATATGGATATGATATCCTTTAAGAAAGATATCATTCTTGGAAGAGTGGAGGGGCAGCACAGAAGCGAAAGACCCCAAATGAGATGGGCTGGCTCAGTGACAGGGGTAACAGGAGTAGGCGTGTCTGAGACAGTGAGATTGCCTCAGGATAGAGCACAGTTCAGAGTTCTTGTGCATGGGGTTGCAATCAATCATAGTGGACTTAAGGACATTTACCAACAGCACAACAACAATACTTTAAATACAAGTGGAAGATTAAGATTAATCCTTCAGCTTATTGGACTTACTGCTCTTGTAAAGGAACTTCCATATTCCTGCATTCAAAGGAAAATGATTTTTTGTTGTTGTTGTTAGAACTTGCTTTACTTGGCAAATCTGAAAAGGGAAGACGAACTGAGCTATCTGTGAAACAAATACAAACATCTTTCAACATATCTAGGCAATCATCCATTTCAAGGTTTGCCAGATATTTTCAAGATAAAGACAAACTTTTGAAAACTTAACTAAGAAATTCAACCATAGCAAGCCATCTATAGTGTATCATATATTGGTTTCATTCAAAAGTGAGGCAAACTTTGGAACTTCTTTGGTCAACAGTCAAATATGCAATTTAGCCAATAATCCACTTTTTCTTTACATGAAGTCACCATACCAAATATCTATGAATCAGACAATTAAATTCCTATTTGATTTTGTTGCATAAATAGTGAAACAAAACAAAAACCTTTTATAAATAAATAAACCCTCTACTGCTATGGTGGGCTAGTGCTAAAAAACCGCACTGCCATCCCAAAGGTATACGGTTTGAATCCACTAGCTGTTCCACAGGAGAAGTATCATGAATTTCCTCCCATGAGATTAACTGCCTCTGAAAACCCATAAGAGGGTCAGCTATGGTTCATTTCCTAGTTGATAGTACTCAACAACAACTCTTTAGGTATATTTAGAAGATATGTTTATAAATGTATTACTTAAGTATTAAAATTCAATCAAAGTCAGGAAGTGTGATTTTCTGAAGGAAAAAAATCCTTTACCATAAGTTCATTTTTCATGTAAGATTTTTTCCACAGTCTCCAGAAAGGGCTATTAGGGGCAGAATATTGAAGCAAATTCTGTTCTTTCACTCTGGGCACTTAAATGAGAGTTCTACTTCTCTGCCTTTCACTCTGGGAACTTAAATGAGAGTTCTACTTATCTTCATGTTGCTGTGACAGGGTCATACAACAACCTTGAGCTCACTCAAAAAACTCACTGCCACTGAGTTGGGATCAACTTGTAGCTGACCCTCTGGTGCATTGTCTGAGGCTGTAAATCATACAGGAGGAGAATGCTCATCTTTGTCTTTCTCCTGCAGAGCCATTCATTGCTGGATGTTCATCACCAGAAAGGTACCGCCTGTGAGTTAGCAGCACAACTCCCTGGAGACTAGGCCAAGGCCACCAGAGCTCAACACTGAGCTAGAGCCTTTAACTGCTAGTCTCAGACCCTGCAGCTCTGTTCTGAATAGCCTTGTTCTGGATAATCCTGAAGCTCCATGTTGAGATAATGGCACTGAAAGATGTTGTAGAATAACTGTGGCATGCAGCTCTCCAGGGCTAGATCTATCAGATCTATCAAATAAATGTGATTGATTTATAGACATGGATTGCATGGGATTGTTAAGATTCTAAAGTCACCAATTATCTCCACACAATATAGCCTGCCTCAATAGTAATGTTGTTGTTTTATACTGTCAAGTTAGAACCAACCCATAGCTGTTCCTCCAGTGGGTTTTCAGAGGCACTAAATCACATGAGAAGAGATTGCCCATCATTCTCCTACAGAACAGCTGATGAATTCAAGCTGCATGCCTTCATATGGACAACACAATTCCTTACCAATAATAATAATATTAATTTTGAACCAAACCTTGTTCAGTTTAAAGCTATAATATGCTTACAAACTGAAAGCAAATTCTAGGAGCAAGAAAAATGTACGATCTAGAATTGTTTCCTGTTTATTTCCAGGAAAATATTGGTCTGCCTTTTCATTTGTTGGAATAAGTAAAAAGGCAAAAGGAGTTAGAAAGTATAACCCTACCTGAATCAAGATCTCCGTTGCCATTGGTTGAGCTCTGATGTTTCTCCAAAGGTGAAGATGAAGGGTCTTGCATATTGGAAACTGATACACTGCTCTCCATTGCTAAGTGGTTAGGATACCTTTCTCTTAATTCATCCTGCATACAGAAGAATTACCTAAGAGAGGGGTGGAAAGATAGAACATTGTAATCATATTAACGTGTTTTTAAGTTCTCCACAAATAATGCAATCCTATCAGAGTTGCTATCACTTCATTATAACATTTAGGATGTGATGTAATGTTGACAGCATCAGTGAATAATAAATACAACAAAGGCCACAGCACACCAAAGCCATCAATTTTCATTATCATATCCCAAAGATGGACAGATTTTTCACCAATACATAGAACCCATACTTCTATATCAAATGTACCACATGTATTAGGCAAGGCACTCTACCACCAAAATAGTCTTATAAAGAAAGACACAATGTCCAAAAGAAGCAAAGCTATCTTGACTTCAATATTCCTGTGTTCAGGTATTGTAACATTCAAGGTCCTGAAGCTCAGGAAGAGGTTTGGATACATCATGCCAGTGACTTCTCACCAAATATAGAGGAAGTTTCAACATTCGCAAATAACATGCTTTCTCTAAATTAGACATTATAGCAAGATTTTCCTACACTAGCAATGTTATCCCACACTGTTTTCTGATATGATTTGGGGACAAGAGGAATGCTAAACTCGTAGTTACCCAGAATCAATCATTACTAAGCTATGGTGATTTAAAATAAACATGTGGTGTATTTAAATCTTTCATGCACTCAACAAGATTTTCTACAGTTTCTCTTACTTTACATGTAAATTTTTAAATACACAAAAAGGCCAAGCACAGATTTAAAAAACAAAAAATAGTGTATCTATAAATATACCTAAGGTAGCTATGAGTCACAAGTGACTCGATGGCACATAACAACAACAACAACAACAAGGTCTACAAATAGAATATTCTGTTACCCTCTATACTTTTCTGAAGACACATACACGTATGACCACATGTACAAGTGTATGCATACAAACCTCTGGTGCAATTTTGTTTACTTCCCAAGAATAAATTTTGAGTTCTTGTTGTCCAAACTAAAGGTGGCTAAGAGGAATATGCTAATCATGTGTGTAACGGAAGATCAAAAGCTGAAAACTACTGCTACAAGAAGTAGTCATTAAAGAGTGGAAATACACTGGGTAGAAGGCATGCAGCATAGTCATTCCATTTCATGCATTTTATCACCACCAGCTGTACGTAAAACCCCCTGGTAAACTCTGTGAAGAGGATATAAAGCTACTTTTCAAAGCACAAAGGAATTTTTTTCTTATTCTTTAAGAATAAGCACCATAAAGGTACTTAGACTGGTTCATTAAACTTCACAATCTAAGCATCTTGGTAATACAAACTAAGTAGATAAATAAGCACATAAAATGAAAATAAAATATATAAGAGAACTGTAAATAACTAGGAAAGTATCTTTCATTCATTAAACAAATGTCTTCTGAGCACATGGGCTTATTATATTTTCTGAAACAACAGAAAGAAGGACGTCTTCAGGATGACAAAAAAGACCAAAAAAAGGTAAGAGTCCAAAGCTTATTCATGGTGACCACGAATGGAAGGCAAGGGATAAGCGGAGATTAACAGTGATGAAAATATCACTTTGATTAAGAGTATGGCTGCAGGGTCAATCATTTTAACGTTTGGCAATAAGTTGTTCACCTATGGAAAGTCTATTTGGTAAAAGTCTAACAGGTATATTAACAACAGCAAAAGAGAATAGCTGTGAGGCTGCCATGTACATACACCTCATGGGATTTTTGTTTCTTATTTTAGAGGTTTAGGATCATGGTTTCATTGGATATCCTAGTTAAAAAAATATGTTTAGTCCTCTTCCACTTCTAATTTCATTGGGCAGGGCCTGATCTTAAAAGCTTGCAGTAGCCACTCAAGCAAGGCACAACAACTGACCTCTATTTACTCGGTACAAAAGAAGAAGAATGAGAGGCAGTAATAGGAGGAAGACATGGAATGTGTGGCTAAATGTACTCAGGAATAGCTGCTTCCTTGAAGCCATGAAACCAGAAAAACTGGATAGTGCCTAGTTACCAGTAAGAACATTCTGAACAAAGATTCTCTAGAAGAAACCTGATTTAAGAGGGAGTAAATGCAGAAAAGAATGTGGAACTCATGGATTCCAAACTTCCTGGAGCCATGAAAGTTTGATGAACCCTTGAGATAATCTTTAAACCTTAAACCAGAAATATTCTGTAGAATCTCCTTAAACTATAGTTTAGCTTAACTAGAAAAGAATACCTGCCTTGAGCATTATGCCCTTTTAAGATCTATATACAGGGGTACGTGGTTCAAATCCACCAGAGGCTCTGCTGAAGAAGGAGGAACAATCTCCTCCTGTACCAGTCAGATCCAATTTGACGGTACACACATTAATAATAATAATAATAATGCCTATTATTATTATTATTTTTAAAAAGATCTATCTACAAAGAAATTAACAATTGCAACTCAACTCAAAAAAAACCTCAAACTCATTGCTCTCCATTTGAACTAACTCTTAGTTAAACATCCAATGAGGGTTTTTGGAGTTTTCCTCCCCCCCAAAAGCCATAAATCAAAAGACAAGAGACTGTCCATCTTTGTCCCTTGGAGCAAGCAATAGATAAGACCAAATATGACGGATTAGAACAAACATATATGTTGTTAAGAGGGTAAATCTAGGGTTGTGAAGCTCCATCTCACACACTTTGGGCATGCTGCCAGAAGGGACCAATCCTTAGAGAAGGGCATCATGTTTGGAAGGGTGGAAGAGAGTAATATGATGGGTACAGGAGAGGAACACCCCGGATGAGAGGCAACAACACAGTAATTGAGGTAATAGGGGTAGGGGTCTTGGAGGTTAAAGCTGCAGAAGAGGTGAAGGGCACAGGAGAGGAAGACCCTGGATGAGATGGATCGGCACAGTAACTACGGTACTGAAGGTAGGTGTGTCAGAGACAGTGAGCTTGGCTCCCAATAGGGCAGGCGTCAGAGTTACTGTGCCTAGAGTCACTAGGAGTCACAGTCAACTGACGACACACAACAACAAGGCTTAATATTAGTGCCCAAAGCAACAACAAGGAGCATACATGTCTATGACTTGGAAGGCCTCTGCTGACATCCTCCACATGAGGCCACAAACAGCTGACTGGAATAGGAGGTAAGACTGTCAAGTGACCAGGCAAACCCTTGTTTCTGAAGCCTTTCACAGTGTACTCACCAACTTATCTTGACTGCAGTTGGTAGTTAAGAAGCAATCTGCATATAAACGCCTTGTAGGCATACAAGTGTACCTGCTTAGCCAAATATCCATCAAACAACAAGCATGTGTACAAGGAGAGACTGTTCATGGGGAGTGCCTGGGTCCTAACAAAGGATGAAATACATCGCCCTGACTACGAGGAAAGAGTGGTGATGCATTCACCCTATCACTAAGAATTCGGATGACTACCCAGAAATAACAGTCACAGATTCTAGAAGAAACAAGATGGCACAAGCACAGGAAGGCTCTGTATTGGTGAAAGGGACCTTACACAAATTCTGTTCTACTCACAGCTCTCCACACACCAATCAGGGCAATTACCAGACCCTGAACTTGCAGGGGTAAAGGATATGCAAGTGTAAGAAGATAAGCAGTTCAGTACGATGCATCTGTCTATGTGGCCTGAATGTTGCAATACTAGAAGCAACATCACCAATATTTCAAACTCCAGTAGAATTGCCCATAGTGCACAGAGTTCAGCAGAATTTCCTCACTATAATAGATGAGGAAAAGAGGCCTGGAGATCTATGGTATAAAACTTAAGCAATGAAAACATTATGTATCACAAAAGAACATTTTCGAAGTCACTTATTGGACACATCATCAGGAGGGAATAATCACTGAAAAGGACACCACATTTGAAGTAGAGGGGCAGCAAGGGTGAGGGAGACCTTCAGTGAACTGGACAGGAAAAATTGACTGAAGCAATGGACTGCAACATGCCAGTGACCATAAAAACGACCAGAGACTTGGGCAGCATTTGTTTCTGTTGTGCATGGAGTCCCTAAGGGTCACCAGAGTCATGGTTGGCTTGATAGTAGTTATCAAACTAAGACATTTGGAGCAAACAAGGATGACTCAAAAATGAAAAAATGAGGAAGTGGAATGGTCAGAGTATGAGGATGTGGGGAGAAGAAAGCAGAGAGGAAGCCTGCATTATGGAGCTTTCAAAAATGATTACAAAAGCCATGTCACCACATGGAAAGAAATTGAGAAACATGAATAATAGCAGTACAAATAGACTTGCAGCACAACAATAAAACACAAAGCAAAAGGCAATGCTATTGAGTCAATTCCAACTCTAGAGGAATACAGTTTCCAAAGCTTACTGTAAGTTATTTGAGGAAGACTACTAATACCTTTCTCCCACAGACAGGTTTGATAGCTTTGGGCTGCTGATCTTTTGGTTTGCAGCCCACTGCTTAAACCACTGTGTCACCATGAAAAAAGAGACATAGGATATAACAATCATAACCCAAAAGGGCGGATGGAATTCTAGTATACATAACCTTCTATTTTTACAGGCTCTCAAATTCAGTCATAGGTAAAAGCAAATGATACATCATGGGGGGGAAATGTGCTTTTACAATTCACATTTTTCCTTGACTATTTCAACTCTCTGCTAATGCTCTTGCTGTTTCTCTTGAGCTGCTGTGTGTGGTAATTTTGTGTGTGTTTATTTTTTGATAGGCTTAAAGATAATAACTCAATCCTGTGCAATGAAAAGAAACAAGATTGTACCAGTAAAAATAAACCAGCAGTATAGATAGGCCCAATGGTCATTTGTATAGTTTTATTTGAATTTTTAAAAAATGGACCTCTGGAAAGTCTTTGTGAAATTCAACTTGTTGGTAATAAGCAGTAACAAAATCTGTAACTCAAAATATAAACAATGAGAATATTAGTATGTAAGCACAGTTTTACATGTCTTTTACCAACATTTACAGTGATTAAGCATTTTAATTCATTCAATCCC